ATGCCATTCCTAGGATGAGGTCATACCTTGCATCCAAGTCTAAGACTAGACAGCGTTCAACGCTATAAAAGTCAAGGAGCTTTACTCCGAGGTCCACAGGGACCTTCGGGAACGTGACACGTGTACCCGTCGATAGGCGTACAGTGACGATGTCACTCAACCGTGCTTTCAGCGCCTTAGCATACAGCTGACTTCCTTCCATCGTGGAGCGTCGAGCATGATTGCCCGACGCCTCAGAATCGATGAGGATCTACCATGGCTTCTCGAAACCCTTTACGGTCGCCTCCACGACCAGCAAGCCTGGCTTGCATACACTTTCCGTGTTGAAGAGCACGGAGCTCTTCGGGGCTGGGCCCTGTTGACCTCCACCTCCTTGAGGCTCAACAGAACTCAGTTCTTCCCCAGCAGGTCGCTCCGCGCCTAAGTACGCTTCCTCAAGCGTTTTGCTACGGCAGCCCTGCTGCATAACTACTGGCTACCCACCCACATACCGTATTCTTATTTGGGTGCTGTCACATTATGCCCATCTTGTGTGACACACAACCCTGTTACCAGGGTACGTGAAACCCCGTTACACCTGGAGTTAGCTGATTGCGATGTGTTACACTCATACTGGTTCTAGTATATAGAACGTAAGGTCGGTGACCTTAGCCTAATTTCCTCAAAGCGAAAGAGTTACAGCAGCCCCGCTGCACACAGGCTCCACTTAGTCGAGTGGCAAAGGTGTGTTGGTTCCTCATCCCCTATTGTAAAATTATAAAAAAATATTTTAAGTGCTTCGGAATAAATGTGACTTATTTCAGATCGCAAATATGTACGGCAAAGTAATCTAATAAATTTACAGGGGCGAATTACGACGGCATCGTTACAAAACGTTATGACGGAGATGTAGGAACAAAGGATCCTCTTTGTTTTTGATTTTTCCAAATCATTTGAACGAATCTTGAAAAACTTACGGACTTTTTCTACATAACTTGATCACGTTACTCTCTCATAGATAGAGATGAAATCAGATTATTTAAAAGTCGATCTCCTACAGTTTAAGTAAATCTGAGACTGCCTCGCGCATTAAGTGCCAAGATCATTACCAAAGCACAAGACCAAGGTTTGGTTCTCTGGGAACCTGCACTGCACACGGCAGACCTTTCATTCGGAATTTTTGTAGTGTAGTTGGCTTTATAATTGACCTGAGAATGCTTATATTTAGTTAGTCTCTGTTTTGAAAACTTTTCTGCTTGATCTTTCGCCACAATATCGTAATATCCATGCTCGTTGTTAAGGCTCTCGATTTAATATCGCAGTGTTTGCAACTATCAAATGTATGCCTTCAACGCTACGGATACTCTATCAGCTGTCTTGTTCGACAAAAGTGTTGCGTACCCCTAGCGATATTATTGTTTTTGGATGAACGAAAAGATTGATATCTTTCAGGAATAGCCGATAGTTCGAGTAACGGAGACAATTTCGATCAATTTAGTTAAATAATTTGTATTTGAAATCTCTAAATACATGATTTTTGTCTTCAAATCTAGCTCTCGAGCTTTCTAATGTTGAATCTGAGCATTCAAATAACCGATTTGGGGTCACAATATAGCTTCTGTAGTATGTCATGTGAGGTGTGAACATATAGTGGGACCTCGGTGAATGTGGCGTTTTTTAGTCATATAGACTTCAAGCAAACACAGCTTGCGTAGAATTTGAATAGAGCTGTCTTTGTCTGCATTGATGTATTGAGATTCTTTCTCTCTATCGATAAACTTGTTTCTTTGGTGTGCAAAAGGCCTCACACAGCAGCATCAAAGTTATTGAGACTCAGTAAATTATCATTGCGCCCTCTGCCCTGTTTGTAATAAGGCGAACACTGTAATGCCACATAGTTTACCCTTACAAACTTGAATGGGGTACAACTGTGCGAAGCCTGCGTTACAATTGTTGTCATTCTGAATCTTCAGAAATACCAAAACATCAGTTCTCACGAAGATTACGGAGTTTCAAAAAGTATACATCCGGAAGACAATGCGAGATGTACAGTTGATATGTCATCTAATCATATTGAATTTTTGTCATTTTGAAGCTTGAAAACGATTGTTGTGGGTGCCTACGAAAACTTGCGACCAGTATCATGGAATTGGCCACGCTGTTGATAATTAAAGCATATTGCTGCGTAGTCAAGCTCAATTATTTCCTGTCTAATCCAACTTATCGCCCGTAAACTTAAGATTCTAAAATTTCTTGATCTTTTCTTCATGGATGCATCTCGTCCTTTTTTTCTATTTGGTATACTGTAACGAGACAATTCTGATGTTAACGAACAGATGGTCAAGCAAATTTTCACACCCATTACATAGGGAGTTCATAGCATGATTCAATCATCCGCAGTAAGATAAATGCGGAGTTTGTTCTATTGAAGTATCGGATGGAAAATTTATGGCTGATCTAAACTTTTTCGTTGCTAAATTAAGGCGACCAGTAAATACATTTTTTTGCGTATAATTTTAAGGTTGAAACTCTCGCATTATACCACTAAGATCATGTACGCATACGGAACAAAGGACGATTATCCTTATTCACTGTTTCAAGCCTTGTGTCCACTGCAAAGATTCGACCAGATAGCATCACGTTTTGAGCATCGCCGATGTCTGGTAGTTTCACGTTCGATACCAATACCATCGTTAAATTATTCGTCTTGTATACGGTATTGTACCGGTTTCTACAATACTCAGTTAGAGCCATATGCCTAGACAATTGGGTGGCTGCAAGATATTCGTCCACCGCTTGGTAATCACCAATTACCTCGCAGAAAACAATGGCGTTTCGGGGTGGCCGCGGGGGAGTTCGTGGAAGTCGTGGAGGACGCGGAGGTGCCCGAGGAGGTGGCCGTGGTGGTGGCCGAGGAAGTTTTCGTGAACTCGAGGGTCCGCCCAGTTTTGTAGTCGGTGCGGTTGACAAGTGTGCAAATGCTAGAATGTGATGACTTATCTAATTAATTATTACTACAGAACTGGGGTCCTTTATGCACGCATGCGAGAACGAGATGGTTTATAAGAGCAGTAACGACAAAGTGCCGTATTTTAATGCTGGTGCCTTCCTTGAAAACAAAACACGAATTGGCAAGGTGGATGAGATCCTCGGGTCCATCAACGAAGTTATGTTTACGGTCAAGCCAGACTCGGGTGTTTCAGCCTCTTCTTTCCAAGCTGGAGACAAAGTTTACATCAGTCCGGATAAGCTTCTACCACTAAGCAGATTTACAGAAAAGCCCGGTAAAAAACCTGCAGGTGCCGGTGGACGTGGTGGACGAGGAGGTGCCCGTGGTGGACGCGGTGGAAGTCGAGGTGGAGGGCGTGGTGGTTTCAGTGGACGTGGAGGTGGACGCAGTAGCTTTGGAAGTGGTGGTGGTCGTGGAGGAGGATTTGGCGGACGTGGACGTGGAGGTGGTCGAGGAGGCTATGGAGGCCGAGGTCGCTATTGAGCAATATATTAATAGCACAATTATTGTATTTCATTTTAGATACATGACGTATGTTACAAAGTCCCCAAATGGTGTGCATGTTACAAAAGAGTGTACATGGACGTCGCAGATAGTTGTGATTCTGGAACCGCGCATTGATTCGCTCATGTTCTGTTTGTCACGTTAAAAAGAAATAACGATTTTTGTCGCCCACGGTATAGCCCATGACGAAAAAGTGTGAAGAGTTGCTGGACTTACTAAGCTACACTTGTCACGATTCTTCATTGCATCGTCATCACAAGATAAAGAACAGATCCACTCAAACATTGCTCTAGGTCCAAGAAAATTAATCCTATTAGTATATTGCAAATTGCTTACTTCTTATGAGCAATAACTACGAAGCTTAAATTCGGTCGAGACACTCGAACTGAACAATGCTGTTACCTCGAATGACCTACTTAAACAAACAGACAGAATTTTAGTCGCAAACTCAGAGCTAAGTCGATAAATCTTGCGGAAAAGTTATGCCATCGTACCACCATGCCGATCCGATTTGACTCAGTGGCCGACACCTCTTCGACCGTCTCGTCCAGCGTTACATTCATAAATTGATCGAAACCGCGCAGAACACCCGAAACTTTTCGATTTCCATTAAGCTTCAAGCTCAATCGTTTGTCCATGTATCGCTTAAGGTCAGGGCCTGCCGTCTTCACCATTTTCGTGCTTTGCGCAGATATGTGGTCAGTCACACCATTTATACATTATATAGGTGGCATACACTAATTTATTCGTCATTCTCGAACATTAGAGTGTATGTTGTGCCTACGTCATGGACAATAATATCATTCGTTAAATCCTTGAAAAAGTTACGATAGAAACCACCGTCGATCAAAAAGTATGAGCAAGACAACCGGATTTGCGCAGGGACAGGATTGGGAGACGGCTGGATGGGGAAGTCGCGCTCCTCCCCGCGGTGCTGCTAAGCAGGCGGCGCTTAACAGCGCGCGGCGAGCTGGCAACGTTATCACCGAAGCTAAACGTATGTTTGTATCAGGATTGAATACTAAAGCTCGGGCTTGTTAATGTTGTAATTAATCTGCTACTATAGACAATGCTGGAACAAATAAGGGTGCGCACAGTGCTGCTAATGTTAACATGCGCAAGCTGGAGGAAGACACGGAAAATTTTAAACACGATGCTGTTGACCGCAGCTTGTCACAGGCGTTGATGAAGGCGCGCATGGAGAAGAAATTGAATCAAAAACAGCTTGGCACTCTTATCAATGAGAAACCTCAAGTCATAGCTGATTACGAGTCAGGCCGCGCCATTCCAAATGGTCAGATTATTTCAAAGCTGAATCGAGCACTAGGTGTACAGCTACCACGCGGCTCGAAGAAGAAATAAGTTTCGACAAACTGTTGAAGTTTGTCTCGATGCATTTGATTGCTAAACGCTTTTATTGTCAAGGGTCATTGCTGCTTAGATCTATCAGTCCTCAGGGCATCGTGCAGTATAGAATTAAACACCATTCAGGTTCTTGTGTACTTTTGAGAGATGTAGAAAAATTTACAATCACAGCATTACAAAAGTTTCGTTGTTAACGTGTTTCTCGCTCGTTGTTTATTGGTTTACCAACTGAAATAAGTGCCTAACGTGTATGGGTATGAATATGGGTTTATTGCAAAGGTGATACAAATAGAAAATATTCGCGAGATGTGATACAATTGTGTTTTCAACACCATTGTTATGAAAAATAACATTGAGGCAAATGCAGCAAAAAATGGAGTGGAACTTTCAAAAAAGTGGGTTAATTTATTTTCAGTCAAATAATCATAACATGGCTTGCGATTTTTTATAATCTTAATCTTTATTTACAAATCTAGAACATGAATGTTGTCAGATCACAAGGCGTGATTCTTGGATCAAAATCGTGCTAGACGAACGTGCCAATCACAACCAATAGTTGCACTGTCGCACTATAATAAACGAAACGTTCCCCCTCTGTTGATGACGATTGCACACTTCCCTTGGGCTAGTGCGACATCTTTGATGCTCGCACAGCCTCCTTGCCGTTAGTCCATCTCTTCTGCTTGAGTTCCTCCAGCTCCATGGCACACGCCTTCAATGAAACGGTGAAACAAGATTGGCTACCTCGGTAAATTTACCAAGTCTTGTATTTTTAGTGTTTAAAATACAATTGTATCACATCTCGCGAATATTTTTTATTTGAATCACCTTCTGCAATAAACCCTATCTTCTATCCTGGTGGAGCATCGACGAGTCACCAAACCACTTCTATGTCGAAAACACGAGGCTGTGATTGGTTTCGCGCAAGACATGGGCTTGTCCGAAATTAATGGCAATGATCCGCAAAGTATGCTGCTTCAAAGTATTTCATTCTATGTCTCAGCTGTATCAGAAGTGGCAGTACTTATCAGGTGAGAAAGGTTTAAAGTCTATTGGCAAAAATAAATGTCACTTTACCTATCCTCCTCTCAACGTAAGTCAACAGCCCGCGTGAAGCCGGTCAGCATGATACTGCTACATTTTTATGTTTTTGCAGTGCAAGCAGACAAGGAATTAAATCGTAATACACGAAAATCGTATTGATTCTTCTCGAAAGTTCACAATCTGAAGCCATGAGAACAGACTTTGACTAACGTTGACTGCATATTTGGTATAAACTGTTTATGAAAAGAATTCTGTGGTGTATTAAATTCTACTCTTGAGGCTGATTATCCACTTCAGCTGCGAATCGAGATCGTCTTCGCAGCCTCGTTAAAAGAGCGGTGATGAAGAATAAAAAAGACCAGAATAAAATCGTCGACGACGTTACCAAAGCAATCTCTGGTCTTAATGTCAAGGCCAAGGCCCAAACAAAAGCCACGCAAAATTGGAATCTTCTTAGACAGATGACATTAAAGAAGACGGTAGGGTGCACCATTAATGGGATGTATAAATAATGCTGTTGAACTCAGAAAATGATATATAAAAGATTCAAAGTGATTTTTTTTCAAAAAAAAAACCTATTTATATTCGAATAG